ATCGATGTCTGTCTGTTACTTATAATGAAAAGGAACAAAGCAGATATTTTTTGCTACGCTCCCCCTCTTTAGAATTCGAAGTATGGCGTACATGAATGATATGCGTTTATTATCACCATGGAATTTGATGACATTATTCTGAAAGATCATCTCACTTCTATTAGTTGGGGAACTCGAAGTTGCTGTTCCTGGGACAATGACGGAGATATCGAATTCTTTGTGAATCCTCCCACTGCGTAAACAGAAAAGCCAGATAGAGGTTGATTTTGTTTTTAGTACTAAAGGAAAATAGCATGACTTCAACTACAATACTACACTTATTCATAAAACGACTTATTTTGGAATCTACTTAGTAGTACTGTAATTTGGTAGTAGTGCGACGCGAAAAGATACGGAATTACAAAGTGAAGGTCACCCAAGTTATGCAGTTATGCGCAATGCATTTTCTTCATATTTTTGGAGGTAGGTCTAGTATAACATTGTTTGATCGTCTCTTATGTTGTTATAAGCACGTCCACATTTGACCTCAGCCTCTACTGTGAAAATTATGATCCTCCACATAGTGAAGTCAGTTATTACAATTAACGAGTTCGCAGCGTCAAGTCATAATAAAATCGCTTCTTTAGTCAAAGATAAATGATTATAGGGATGCGAACGGAATAGTGTGTGTTTGTTGGCCGCGTTTCGATCTTTCAAACATTTGATGAGTGCTCTAGTTTAAAAAGGAAGGTGCGTTTAATGACGTGCAGTGCTATCCATAATTCAAGAGAATACATGTCTAGGCGAAATAAGGGGTTATACAAATAGTATTCTTACTATAAGAGCCATTGGGAAGTCGATTTATATTCGATCTAGTCTACAGTATTCCTGTGTAAATGTGATATCTTCCTGAGAATCTTATTTTAGGTTGGCCTAAAATTTTTTGCCTAATTTGTCTGAACCTTTCTACAGCTAACTCGATTCGCGTACTGTTACCATACTTATGGAAACGGTGAGTGTCTATTGGCAAACTTTTACACCCAATGCTTAGACATACTTTAAGAATATCTTTCCTTCTAGAGGCCTGGTTTCGACACGTGTAATATAGATTTATCCAAAAGAAGAGAAGATTTTCAAGAGTTTGTGAACAACAGTGTCCTTTCGAAACAACTGCGTGTGCTTTTCATGCCGAATAAAGAAAATTTAGTGCTGAAGGATGTCGTGAGAAACTTCCTAATTGATGTAGTGAAGTGAGTATTGGTTTGATTGTTACTGCAACTTATTTCACATCGGACATGTTAAGGTATGATGTCAAAGAGGATTTTAACCCATTGGGATGGTTAAAGAAGGCAGGTACCGTCGACGGGACGATATGCTTTAGGGTATAAAAGCTAGTTAATTTATAAGTAGCGCTATTAGTTACATTTGAGCTATTTAGGCTGAGATGTCCTATGGTTTCTGGGACTATTTTTTGAAGAAAGGTCGACTCAATCTAGCTGAATACAACAAAGTTCACAAGACGTCGATCAAAGTAATCCGAGGGCAGAATATGAAGCGTAGTGACCTAGAGAATTTGGGGTAAACAAAAAGATTGATTAACCATCAAAAATAAACGTTTTAATCTAAATTCAACTTGAGGTTGTTTCTGCGTTACAAGATCCGTAAACTGTGCTCAGACATGAAAAAGCCTTGGCCCGAAATTCTTGTGAGAGGATCCTACGTGATCATAAAAAATAAAACAACAGACAAAGTATTTGTAAGTTTTAGTGTAAGTTTCTTATGAGCGGTGAATCTTCTGAACAAACATCTTTCTGCAATCTATAATTAATTGAGATGTACTACTGTGTATCAAAAAAAGATGGTTACTTGTCTAATTACAGAGGTTCAAATCTACCATATTAGCCATAACCTTGGGATGGGATTATCATGACTGGCACGGAGCACCCATCAAATCTTTGCTAACTCCGTTTGAGTTGGAAAAATTCGAGGTAAGTCATTGAATGTGTAGCGTATTATTGTGAGTAACAGTTGTCATTAAGGATGGTGCAATCAAATGGGGTTCTCTCAAAATGGAGTCAATTCTGTCATTTGATACAGGGACGAAGACCACAACCACTACCGACGTAAGAAGCAATAACTATTATAATTCTGATCTCATAGAGAGCTTATAGTTATAATGATTTAAGGAGCCCAAAAATCTATCAAGAAAGAGGGAGTCCGGAATACAGGAAGTACTTACAATGAAGAAACCGAGAAATGACGGTCAAGAAGTGGAGTGATAAACTGAAGGCGGCAAAGGCAAGCAAAAACATTTGTTCGAAGTGATAAATTTCGAATACACAATTGAAAAATTCAAGATGTTTTATGACTGTTGATAATGAGAAAGAATAGGAATAAATGTTGCATTTTATTAGCTGTTCAGCTCAAAGTTATTATGAAATCCGAATTTATGAA